AGGGAAGGAGAGAGAGAAAGTTAGAAAGCACTCCCTGGGGAGATGGCCATACCACAATCCCTTCTCCATCCTCCACATGTGCCTGGTGTGTTCTTCAAGCTGCCACATCTGGGATGCGAGCCATGCAGTTGGCCATGACATACAGCCACCTTAATCACTATGCCATTCACTGGTCTTATGTCCTATATTTCTTACATATACTTATAAAATACATTAACATATGTCACTGTATTTGTTTCTTTATGTGTTAAAGAAAAAAAAAGCAGTGATCTTGTTAAAGCACAATAAACAAGACTTCATTTAGAGCCATCCCAGTAGCTGCAGGGAACAGTGATGAGAGCTTACAGGCTCAATTCCCTGTGTAGCCAAGGAGCAGGGTGGGGGTTGTTGAGTGGGAACTTAATAAGGTTACATCAGGAAGGGTGGGGGATGGCGGAGGCCGTGCGGGCTAAACCGACCTGACAGGTTCTTGCAGAAGGGTCTTACTGTTGAAGGCCAGGATGGTCAGATGTGGCCGGGGGGAGGGGGAGTAGAAGAGGAGGAACTGGGTCAGATACTAAGGGTTAGAGTTCCTGCTAAACTGATTTAGCAGGGCTCTTACTAAAGCTGTATTTTACCAGAAAGTTTGCAGATGACCTTAGAAAATATTTCTAGAGCCTGACTAAAGTTTAGTCAAGGAGAGAACTGATTCTTTCTCAGTGTGCTTAAACACATTACACAGCAAGCATAAGGACAGGGCTGCCCAGTAGTGTGGTTAAGGAAGCTGGGCCCCATGTGATGGACTGTGTGGTTGGAGTCCCTGGCCCAGAGGCCTAAAATGTACGCCAGGAGCATCTGAGTGCATGCCCAAAGTCTCTGGAGAAAAATGGAGGAGAAGGGATTGTGGCATGGCCTTTGCACTGGGGGTGCATTTTCTCTTGCTCTGTTTCTGTCTCTTTCTGGTGAGTGCACATACCCTATTGCAAAAACAAAAGAGAACATAAAGATAATATGAATTTTATCTATTACTTATCCATGGATTATCTTGTGTAAGGTATTGTTGATACTGTGCATCTAATTAAAACCCAGAAAATATATGTGCAGTATAGTCTATGATTTTAACCACTGTTTGGATGACAAAACAAATGTTGAATTATTTATAGTTTCAAAGGCAAAATTAGCGGTGGAGCATGAACACAAAGCCACCCTTCTGTCTGCAGAGACTGAGTTCCTCACCCTTGTGCTGGAATGAACACCATCCCTTATTTTTCTGTCCTCCATGTCCTGAAGGACAGTCCCGTCCACTGCTTGTTCTCCTTTGGGTGTGTTTCACTGTATTTTACTGGAGCACAGCTGCACCTGCTCACTTCTGTGTTGTCCGTGGCTGTCCTCATGCTGCCATGGCCAAGTCCAGCAGTTCTGAGAGGCAGTGTGACTTGTCAGGTCAGTGTTGCTGCCCACCCGGTCTGTGTGCGCTGATTAGGATGTGCTCCACTCTAGGGCCGTTGGAGAGAGGGTGAGCATGTGAGCTCATAAACATTGCAGACGGGTCCATTCTCCATCACTTCTCTGTCCACACCGTCCCAGTATTTAGGCTTCCCTTTGCATGCCCTCACTGTAGTCCTCTAACCATGATTTTGCCTCTGTCTGGGTTGGTGGTCAGAGGAAAGGGGAAACTGAAAATGGAGCCCTAGTGGTTTTAATTTTAGCCAAAGCAACCCCCAAAATATTTGTGCTTACAAATTCATATTTGCACTCATAAAATCTGCTTGACCCAAGTTCTTTGTTTTAGTATTTATGCTTTTTAAATTCTGTGTTAATCTGGTAAATCTTAGGAAATTTTTGAAGGTTCATCTATTGTAATGATGTTCACTACCACTTTTTTTTTTATTTGAATGTCATGTTTAACATGAAATACAGGGGCCAGCAGGTGGCATGGTAGTTGAAGTGCTGAACTCCCACATGGCCAACTATGGTTTGAGTCCCTTTCTCTCTTTCTCTCTCTCTGTCTCTGGTGAGAGCACATGCTCTGTAGAAAATTTTTTTTAAATGAAAAATAAATGACATAACAGATCCCAGTAAACAAGTCCTGCTTCAGTACTTCTGTAATTTTCCACAGTAACACTCCAGTAGGTCTCAGTGGCAGCCGACAATATCACCGGGGTCTCATTTTATATATGTGTAATATGTAATATATGTACACATATGCATTAGGTTGTCAGAAAAGCCATAATGTATTTTTCTAAACAGAAATGTATCATGACTTTCCCAACAATCCAGTCATATATAATATATATACATACACTTACATAATACACACATGCATACATAATATACACACACAATAACATATACACATGTATATTTGCATAATACACACATATAGACACATAATACATATACACATATACACACATAACATACAAACCTATATATACACATAATATATGCACACACGTATGTACTTGTATATCGTTTAGATTTTTGCCATAGGACACCTGGCTGGCTGGAGAGGGGAGGAGGGAAAGGGCAAGTGAGAAATCACACCCCCCCAATGGCCATGCCACAGCCCCTTCTCCTTTATTCTCCTCCGGGGATTCTGGGCATGCACGAACATGTACTTGCTGTTTTTCAAGCCACCAGGTCTGGACTCAAACTGCAGGCAACCATGTGCAGTAGATTAGAGACGGGACTGGGGCATGGCTCCCTGGGAGGGATTCCTCACTTGCACTCTCCCTTTCTCTATCTCATGTTTGCATGCACCTGTAGCAACAAACTGAAAAGAAAGGGTTCTAGAAATCCCAGTGAAAATGTAAGCACCACGGGAAGTTGTCAGTGCTGTTACAAGTTGGCCATATATCCATGCACTGTGTGTGTTCTCATCTGGTAAGAGGAGGTCTGACATCATGGGATTTTCCTCTAAGCCGTTTCGCCATAGCCTTTCGGCTTTTGGGCTAAGACATCAGGTAAGATCTTTAGCCAGTATCAAGGCTGGCTGGTAATGGTGGTTAAGGTGCTGGACTCCCACAAAGCAGACTGTGGTTTGAGTCCTGGGCCTGGAGGCTTGTTTTCCTACTTTCCCGTTCTCTCTCTGTCTCTCTCTCTCTCTCTCTCTGGTCAAATTAAATAAATAATAATGATGATAATAAATGAAATAAAATAATTCTTAAAAAAAAATAGTTCAGCTGGCATCTGCCAAGCAACGTGTGTTCTCGCATGGCCACAGCGCCACCACTATGCCAGCCAGTGGTCTCTTCCATTTGCAGACTTCCAGCTCCTGGGTGTGTAGAGGTGCCCGCGAGCAGTACATGACACAGACAACACTTCTGTCCAGTGTCCTGGTGGGTCTGGGCAGCCCCACGCCAGCTGCATGACAGTTCAGCCCACTCTCATGGGCTCCTCTCCAGCTGCCTCTCTTCTTTCCTTCTCCTGTTTTCTGAACCCTCAGGCACATTTCTTCCCCATGGACACCTTTCAGGACTTTCCTATTAAGTTGTAGGACTGTAGAGAAAGAAGAGGAGGGCCCAGTAGGTTGCGTGGTGGTTAAAGGCACTGGACTCCCACACAGCCGGCTATGGTTCAAATCCCGGACCTGGTGGCTTCTTTTCTCACTTTCCCTCTCTCTTCTGTCCCTCTCTGATCAAACTGAAAAATAATAACAATGATAAAGTTAAATAGAAAGTAATTCTTTGAAAAAAAAAAGAAACAATATATAATACCAAGAATGTAAAAAATTAAATATTTTATTATAAGTAATTTCCTTTTATTATACACTGAAAATGGTTATGGTAAATTTTATGTGTATTTACCATAGTAAAAATTTTTTAATATTTTAAATATAAATTTTTCTTTCTTTTTTTCCAAGAGATTTTTGCTATAGGGTGCGTGCACTCGCTATAAAAGCAGAGAGAGACAGAGACAGATAGCGGGAAATCACCCCCCAGGGGGGATGGCCATACTGCAATCCCTTCTCCTCCATCCTCCTCTTGGGATCTTGGGCACACACACTCACACACCTGGCATGTGTTGAAGCCACTGGGTCCGGGACTTGAACCCCAGTCGACTTCATGGGAGTCCAGCAACGTAGCCAGTACACTACCTGGTGGTCCTAGGACTGGAAGGTTTTCACAATTTAGGTTTTTTCTTTTCTTTCTTTTTTTTTTTTTTTTGAGGTTTTTGGTATAGGGAGTGTGCACTCGCCTGAAAGACAGAGAGAGACAGAGAGACAGAGAGACAGAGAGACAGAAAGTGAGAAATCACCCCCCAGGGGGATGGCATGTTTTTCATGCCTCTGGGTCCAGGGCTCAAACCATGCAGTTGGCCCTGTGAGATCCAGTGCCTTAACCTCCACACCATCTGCCAGCCTCATAGACCTTTTCTAGGCCCCCTCACTCCACACTTACCGTGCAGGTCCTACAAGCCAAGGTTGTTTCCATGTGATGCTGGGGTCAGAATATGATAGCCCAGAGCATGGCATGTGGGCAGAGTGCGGCCGGCTGAAGGAAGGTGAGAAACTGCGGGAGCTGGGGGCCACTCTGACTCTCCCCACCCTCCTCCTCTGAGGCAGGCCATAACGAATGCTCTGACCCTCATCCCCTGAAAGTAGACCAGACCCTTGTTCCAGAGGGATCCAAACCTGGAGGCTGGCAAGCACTTTAACAGACAGGCCTTGCTGGCTCCCCCCTTCCCTGTGACCCCCAGGCTGCAGCCCCTGCTCTGGGCCTCCCACTGGCTTTGGGGCTTCCCTTCTCTAGACTCCCAGTAGCATCGGGCTTACATTTGTTAGGTTTTCCTCTTTTAAGTACGAACGAGAGTGAGAGGAGCCTATGGATGGCATAGCGGTTATGTCGCTGGACTCCATCATGGCTGACCACAGTTCAAGTCCTGGACTCGGCTTCAAAATCACGCTGGGCATGTGTCCAAGATTCCAGGAGGAGAATGGAGGAGATAGGATTGCAGCGTGGCCATCCTACATCAGGGGTGATTTCTCACTTTCTTTCTCTTTTTCTCTCTCTCTCCAGCAAGTGCACACACTCTAAGGCAAAAACCTCTAAAAAAATAAATAAAAGCCTCAGCCATGAATCCTGTGCCGAGTGAGGAAAAGATGTCGCTGTTTTGCCCTACTGGGAGCAGAGTGGATTGTGCTTTGAACCGTCAGGAATCAGGGCCCCTGTGAAGGAAACGGATCAGGGGTCTTCTTTGCCATTTCCTGCTGTAAGTAAAGGCTTTCTAAGGCATTGCCTTTGTTTTGCACTTTTACTAAAATGACATAAGTTTCTCCTTTATAAAGGAACTAAGTGCTTTCTGGGCTTGTCAGTCAGGTTATAAACTGTGCCGCTTCTCTTCGAATTACAGTTGTGCAGTTCCTTAAAGGATGAACGTGAACATCTGTCTGACTGTCTTAGCGTGGGTGGATTACCAGTTACATGTAACAAGCAACCCTAGGGAAAGGAGCGCAGGCCAGCGGGTGGCATGGGGTGACGGCACTGGATCCCACATGGCCACCCACGCCTTTCATGCTGGGCACATGTATGTTCAGCCCCCAATCCTGAGAGAATGGAGGAGAGGGAACTGCGGGCTGGGCCCTCCTAGCTGGGGGGTGATTTCTCCCTTTGCCTCTCTCTCCCCATCTCTGTTATCTCCCTCTACCTCCCTTTGTCTCTTGCTCAAGTGCACATGCCCTATAGCAAATTAAAAAGGAAGGAAGAAAACAGGGGCAGGCGCAGCCCCATGGTGCTGCAGGTCTTCAGGATGCACGTCCTTGCCTGCCCTTCTCCCAGGCTCAGGCCTCACTCTGTCCTTGGTCTTGCTGGCTCACCACAGTGTGGCCGTGATAAGCGAAGCCTCTGTCTATTTGCAGTTTGGAAGGATTAGGGCAGAGGTCTTCTCTCCATTCGACTTGGCCTCCTTGAAGGAGGGCCTCCTTGAGAGACCTCCGTGCACTGCTCCCGAGGTCTTGGTGCCCTTCTGCTCTGCAATGCCCCCACACTCCAGGCTGGTGCTACTGCCCTGGCCTTCCCTCTTCTTCAGGCTGTCCTTGGGCTCAGGCTTCGGATAAGCGTATTACTCAGGGCTCTGCAGAGAAAGAGAGCCAGTGTGTGTGTGGGGGGTGCACACACACGAGAGAAGCGCATCGACGTATTTAGTATGTTTTATGTGACATGGGGCCTCACAGGGCAATGACGAGAGGCACATACTCCCTTCTCCGTTCTCCTCCTGGGATCTTGGGCACGTGCACACACATGCCTGGCGTGAGTTTCAGGCCTCTGGGTCTGGGACTTGAACTGCTGTTAGCCAGGGAGTCCGGTGACATAACCACTCTGCCATCTGCTGGTCCTGAAGAGTGGGACCCTGAACCTTGGAGTGGGGGTATCTGTCTGGACTCAGGTGAAGCAGAGCTGAGAATGAGAAGCCTCCAGGGGCCTTACTGGTAGGAGCGCCCCTCTCTGCTGCGTGAAGAGTGGCCGTCCTCTGCTCGCCGACTGTGAGAGCCCTACCTGGGCAGACGCCCTTAGGGTCTGTCTGTCCCTGAGTCCCACTTCGAACTTTTCCTCTGCACTCGTAGCATAAATAGACCCTGGACTTGGGATCGGAGTCAGCGTGGTCTTGGCAGATGCTCACCCTGGGGCTTGGCAATGGCTCTGTGCCTGGAGCTGCGGTGTGTACGGGCAGGAGCCAGTAGGATGTGGCGGGAGAGCTCAGGCTGTTCCTGAGGAGGGTGGTGCGCAGCCTGAGCTGACTCACCAACAGCACGCACCAACCAGGGGTTTGCCACGTGTCATGTTCTTGACGCAGTGGGAGATGACAGAGCAGTCGTGTCCACATCAGCACGTGACTGCCAGAGACCTGGTGTCAGCTGGCCCCCCGCTGGCAGGCCAGCAGGCCCACAGGCCCGCACAACATTCTAGTAAGTGGAGACTTTGGTGGCAGTGACTGACCACAGAGTCTGTGCTGTGAACTCGGCGGGCGCCTCCCAGGGAGGGAACAGCTTGTTCCCCGCAGGAGGGAAGGTCCCCAGGTGGCCCACAGACTCCCACCAAAACTCAGACCAGGCTAACCCCAACTCAGTGGCACCAAAGAGCCCGCCACCAGAATGGCTGTTCACAGGTGGGGACTGCGAGCGGGGCCTCCAGCGTGCCACCTCGGCTTGGAGCATGATGGGTGGGCGGTGGCATGTGTGGGCACGGTGCCACAGTCACGGCATGTTTGCAGATGTGTGCTCTTTTTAGCATACATGAAACTTTATTTATTAGTATTTAATCTGACCAGAGAGAGACATGGAAAGAGAAAGAGAGGGAAAGTGAGAAAGCAAGTCACCAGGCCTGGGACTCTAACCATGGGCAACCATGTGGGAGTCCAGCGCCTCAACCACCATGCCACCTGCTGGCCCCAGATGTGTGCTCTAAGAATAGTGCAGATTGTCTTTATGAAGGGAGTTATGAGTTCATATTGGTGCAAAGCTGTTTTAGAGTCTAACCATGCTTTTTTGGTAATACACATTTTCTGTGAACTTTCTGAACTCTTCCATTTAAACAACATGACTCAACATCAGTTTCTGAAGTAAGATTATGAGTTAGTTGTGGGGGCAGCAGGTGGCATGGTGGCTAAGGCACTAGACTCCCACGTGGCTGACTGTGGTTCGGGTCCTGGACCTGGTGGCTTCTTTTCTCACTTTCCTTCTCTCTCCCTCTCTCTGACTCTCTCTGGTGAGTATGTGTGCCCCATAACAAAATTTAAAAGTGATAATAATAATAAGTAAAAGAAGACAGTGTATGCTGTAAAGTAGAATGATTGTAAAAAAATAAGAAAATACTACAGAAGGAAAAAATAATCCTTAAAAGAACCATATATACATGTATACATATATATATGAATTAGTCAAGGCCACGCCACAGCACACGAGGGAAGGACACGCCAGTCAAAGGCAAGGCCCAAGGGTATGGAGATGAGGCCAGCATGGCTCACGGACAAGTTCCTGAGGCAGGGCGAGGCCCGCTGGGGGCTGTGGACAGGGAGGGGGAGATGGGAGACCACACGGTGGCAGGGCCGCCGGCACTTTGCTTGTACAGATATGGGGCTGAGCAGTTGCCACGTGGGAAAAGCCGTAGTGGTGTGTTCGCACTCGGGCTGGTGCAACTGGAACGCTCAGTTTTGTCTAACGTGGGGAAAAAGCACCATGTTTGGGCAGACGGCGTCGGGGTAGGGACCAAGCGCCACCCTGCCCAGTGTGGGCTGCGTACTGGGGCGGCAGGCTCTCCTCCTGCGGGGAAGCCGGGGCCCAGACCGCCAGGGGCATAGTTCTGATGGAGACCCTGTGCTTGACTTACTGCCATTCTGGGGGCTTCGGAGGGCCTGCATGGAGCAGTCTAGCCTGAATGTCAGGGAAGGCCCGTGATGTACAACAGGGAGAGTACGCAGCAGCAACTCAAGGAGCACAGCAGCAAGAACACCAGGGTTTCGCTCCACAGGGAGGAGGCACGGGCAGGTGGCCAGACTCTGAGGGCCACTCTGACTGTCTCACCTACCTGATCGACTGGAGAGTATTTGTCAGGGCTAGATTTTGAGGGCATTTAATGGCCCATCAATTATTTGACTTTAGGTTTTATTGATGTTATTAGAGAGTTTTGCTGTAGGGTGCCTGTATTCACTAGAGAGACAGACGGAAAGTGAGAAATCACCCCCCAGGGAGGTGGCCATGGCTCAGTCCCTTCTCCACCATTCTTTTCTTGGGATTTTAGGTGCACACACACATATGCCTGGTGTGAGTTTTAAGCCACCAGGTCCAGAACTCGAACCACAGTCAACTACCTGGGAGTCCAGCGACTTAAACATTACACCATTTGCTGGTCCCTGTTTGTTTCCTTTTTCTTTTTAAAGAAAGATTTTTGCTATGTGGCATGTGTGCTTGCCAAAGCAACAGAGAAAGACAGACAAAAAGCAAGAAATCAGCCTTTGGGGGGATGGCTATGCCGCAATACCATCTCTTCCATTCTCCTCTTGGGGTCTTGGGCACACATGCCCAGCATGAGTTTTAAGTCACTGGGTCTGGGCCTCGAACAGTGGTCAGTTACGTGGAAGTCCAGCGATGTAACCATTGCACCGTCTTCTGGTCCCAGCTATCTGACTTTACACTGTCCATCAGCTCTGTCTGGCATCTTCCCAATAGGTATGCCACTGGTGCGGCTGCACACCGAGGGTTCTGGGCTGTCCTCTCTAGAGAGCAGAGGTTTGGCAGAGGAAGAGGAGAGCTGAGGGCCGAGGCACATGGTCACAGGAACTGTGCTTACCACCTGGCATTCCCATCCGCTGAGGCCTCCCCGGGCCGGGGCCCAAGTGAGTCCGTGAATGTTCCCGGCACAGATGGCTGCCTGCCTGCACTGCTCGCGTTTCAGGGCTGGAGACGCCATTTGTCTTACAGGGATTAGAATAGCAGCAGCACCTGGCATCCAGGCACCGAGGCCAAGCTCGCCCGTGGAAAGGTCTCGGAGTGTCCTCACAGCTCTGGGCCAGCCAAAGTGTAGACAAGCTTCCAAGCCACCCCCGTCCCCTGGGCTGCTGTGTGCTTCTGGGTGCAACCAACGCTGCTGGGTCGACTTCGCACAGGCCCCAGGCTCCATGTCTGACTCCATTCTCCATCCTCATACCCCCAAAGGTGTCTGATTGCCCCCGCCTTTCTTCAATGGAATCCCGTTAAGTTGGTTTAGCCAGAGTCCTCCCTACCCCTGATGTTTGCTGTTAGTCATTCTTTACCCACTAACCCACAGCCTGCTCTATGGCTGCAAATTCCTATGTACTCATTTTAAATTTTTTAAAAAAGAACTACTAATTTAGTTTTATTTATTATTATTATTACGTTTGCTATAGGGCACTTCTGTTCACCAGAGAGAGAGAAGGAAAGTGAGGAGGCAAACCGCCAGGTCTGGGACCTGACCCATAGTCAGGCATGCGGGAGTCCAGCATCTTAACCACCACACCACCTGCCGGCCCCCCACGTGCTCACTTATGTCTGCTGACTTCACTCTCCCTCTCCCCACTGCAAGGCCTCACCACAGTGGTCTGCCTATCTTTGGTCGTGAACAAGGTCTCCTTATGTGCTGGAACAACTGTCATCGAGTCCTCGTCCTGTAGCAGCTGCCACCGGCAGCTCCGGCAGATAATGCTGAGTTGTTGGGGAGGGATAAGTCTCCAGAAGGCTGGAAAGACAGCAGCAGAGC